GTTTACATATTATTTTTGAATATTTTTTAATCTGTATACCCTCTCGTTGTGTAAAAAGGTACTGTAAATAATTTCTTGAAAGGGGTCATATGATGCGATTTCAATTTTTCCTTTTTCTTTGGAGTGTTACAAGCTCTTGGTGCATAAAGAAGATACTTGCAAAGACTAAAGTCTCAAATCCAAAGAGATATTCTTTATAAAAGTTAAGAGTCAACCACGCCTACCTAAAATGGCTCGTTCCAACACGCCCCCACATGTCTACGTCACTATGTGGGAAGATTTGCATAACGCCGCCCAAATATTCACGCAAAGAAAGAAGGCGTAACTTTTATTCTTGCTGTAGTATTGTTGTTGCCGCCGCCATGCCGTGAAGGCGCTGTGTGCTTCGTTGTGAAAGCGAAACTACTTTGTTTGGTCTTCCAAAAGTATATGTGCTTCGTCATGCCTAGAGCTGATCCGTGCTGGTCGCTGAGGAAATACTTAAACTTCGCGCTGTTGATCGCCGGATCTGCTTTCACCGTGGACGAAGCGGAGTCCAGCCCGGGGTCGTCACATGTGGTTGCCGGCCACAGGCATCACAATATGGTAAGGGACGTAACATTTCCGTCACACACTTGAGGAATTCGGCCAATCACAACGATCTGGATAGCTGGCCAATCAGAGCACACCTTGCTTTTCAGACCGATGAGCTTAGTAAAAATCGACACGTTTCAGAAAGGCGGAGCATAGAGGAGAAACAATAATGTACAGTATGTGGAAAATAATGTGTTTTTTGAACCTTAAACCGCATAAACACATTTCATTACACCAAATACACAAAATAATGTTCTTTTTAGCAACATCATATGACCCCTTTAACATATTTTGGGATATTTTAAGATATCCTGATATGTGAAGAAACCACTTGCAAGGTTGTATATTAGAATGAATGTTCATTTATTGTCATTTAAGTTAAGTTACGAGAGATATTTGTAGCAGGTTGCTGCTACGCCACTACCTGCAGTGTCTTCACACACAAACAAAATGCACTACAAAAGTGTGAAGGGTTATTTAACTGTAATCATAGGATTTGCATAGTAGTCACGTTTCGCACACTTTAATGCCCTTTGAATTGAACATATATGCTCCTTTCGTGGTGGAATATCCTGTGATGTCCACTTCGCAGGGCACTTATGTTGAATGATACAAACCTCTGAATTGATAAGAGAGACTTACATAATGTGCAGAGAGGGGGGACGCGAGGACCAGGATTAAGAACCGCTGCTTTTGACAAAAAAAAAAAGAAAAAGAAAAAAGATTTTTAAAAGACATTGCATTAAGAAATAGTTAAACATTGTTTTTAATTTTATTTATTAATTTTCATTTTTTTAACACAACACTGAATATATAGGCTACTTTACCCACATACATATTTACTAAACTATTTTGTTAGGCTACACAACGTGGATATTTTTGAGTGATCAAAAGAATGATTGAATTTTGAACTGATTCATGGAAGTGAATCTAACTAACTTGTTTGCAGCAAATCCATCATAAATATGTGATGAATAATAAGTATATCAACCAGCCTTAGTTATCATTTGTCATCCTTCTGTCAAAAGAAAATACTGCTTTGTTGTTGGGTGTGATGTTAGTTCTGCATTCGTTTTTGGAGAACCTGTTATGCTGTTTGTGGTGGTGTCACAATTTCCAAAAATTATGACTTCGATAAAATACCTGACAAATACTGAACTTATACAACAGCAAAAACCTAATACAACAGGAAAAGTAATTCAACAATAGAAGACCCAAAATAAAACTTTTAGTTCTTAGTTTTATTTAATTAAAAAACCCTAAAATCTCCCCATTGACCAGCGTATTGCTGCCCTGCTATTTGAACATTTTATAAAAAAAATAAAAAAATAATAATACAATTATTGATAATAAATATGTGTGCTTGGGACAGAGCGAGTACTTCAACTGATTCTTCATTTTATTTTATTTGAAAGAATAGTGATTTTCACAAATTGAAAGTGATTACAGTAGTGATTACAGTACACAAACTGAAAACATAAAGTAATAAAATGACTTTATCTAATCTATTCTGTCTATTTTAACTGTGCCTATAACTATATTTCATATGCAAAGTTCATTTGGGACTCGCTCCTTTTGAACCAGATACTTAGCTTCTAATACATAGCTTCGGACGTCATAGATCACATGCATTTTGGCAAAAACGATACAGTGCTTTAATGTGAAATGTGCTGGTTTTGGAAATTTTGTTGAATGTAACTAGCGCATATTTCTTTATCACTCAGACAACACAACTCTTATTAAAATGGTTTCTTTCTTAAAGTGTCGGTAGTAATAAAATGAGGAAATATACCATTTTTACCAGCAAGGTATCAATAGCTTTAGTATTGGTATATCATAGAACACTAGCTGTTAGACGTGTGCTTTGCTGCGTGACAGATTACAGACATGTAAAGCGAACATTAGAATGTTAAACATGGAGAAATCTCACAGACTGATGATGCAGTCACTATGTGGGAAGATTTGCATAACGCCGCCCAAATATTCACGCAAAGAAAGAAGGCGTAACTTTTATTCTTGCTGTAGTATTGTTGTTGCCGCCGCCATGCCGTGAAGGCGCTGTGTGCTTCGTTGTGAAAGCTAAACTATTTTGTTTGGCCTTCCAAAAGAGGACGATATCCGCTTCGTCATGCCTGGAGCTGATCCGTGCTGGTCGCTGAGGAAATACTTAAACTTCGCGCTGTTGATCGCCGGATCTGCTTTCACCGTGGACGAAGCGGAGTCCAGCCCGGGGTCGTCACATGTGGTTGCCGGCCACAGGCATCACAATATGGTAAGGGACGTAACATTTCCGTCACACACTTGAGGAATTCGGCCAATCACAACGATCTGGATAGCTGGCCAATCAGAGCACACCTTGCTTTTCAGACCGATGAGCTTAGTAAAAATCGACGCGTTTCAGAAAGGCGGAGCATAGAGGAGAAACAATAATGTACAGTATGTGGAAAATAATGTGTTTTTTGAACCTTAAACCGCATAAACACATTTCATTACACCAAATACACAAAATAATGTTCTTTTTAGCAACATCATATGACCCCTTTAACATATTTTGGGATATTTTAAGATATCCTGATATGTGAAGAAACCACTTGCAAGGTTGTATATTAGAATGAATGTTCATTTATTGTCATTTAAGTTAAGTTACGAGAGATATTTGTAGCAGGTTGCTGCTACGCCACTACCTGCAGTGTCTTCACACACAAACAAAATGCACTACAAAAGTGTGAAGGGTTATTTAACTGTAATCATAGGATTTGCATAGTAGTCACGTTTCGCACACTTTAATGCCCTTTGAATTGAACATATATGCTCCTTTCGTGGTGGAATATCCTGTGATGTCCACTTCGCAGGGCACTTATGTTGAATGATACAAACCTCTGAATTGATAAGAGAGACTTACATAATGTGCAGAGAGGGGGGACGCGAGGACCAGGATTAAGAACCGCTGCTTTTGACAAAAAAAAAAAGAAAAAGAAAAAAGATTTTTAAAAGACATTGCATTAAGAAATAGTTAAACATTGTTTTTAATTTTATTTATTAATTTTCATTTTTTTAACACAACACTGAATATATAGGCTACTTTACCCACATACATATTTACTAAACTATTTTGTTAGGCTACACAACGTGGATATTTTTGAGTGATCAAAAGAATGATTGAATTTGAACTGATTCATGGAAGTGAATCTAACTAACTTGTTTACAGCAAATCCATCATAAATATGTGATGAATAATAAGTATATCAACCAGCCTTAGTTATCATTTGTCATCCTTCTGTCAAAAGAAAATACTGCTTTGTTGTTGGGTGTGATGTTAGTTCTGCATTCGTTTTTGGAGAACCTGTTATGCTGTTTGTGGTGGTGTCACAATTTCCAAAAATTATGACTTCGATAAAATACCTGACAAATACTGAACTTATACAACAGCAAAAACCTAATACAACAGGAAAAGTAATTCAACAATAGAAGACCCAAAATAAAACTTTTAGTTCTTAGTTTTATTTAATTAAAAAACCCTAAAATCTCCCCATTGACCAGCGTATTGCTGCCCTGCTATTTGAACATTTTATAAAAAAAATAAAAAAATAATAATACAATTATTGATAATAAATATGTGTGCTTGGGACAGAGCGAGTACTTCAACTGATTCTTCATTTTATTTTATTTGAAAGAATAGTGATTTTCACAAATTGAAAGTGATTACAGTAGTGATTACAGTACACAAACTGAAAACATAAAGTAATAAAATGACTTTATCTAATCTATTCTGTCTATTTTAACTGTGCCTATAACTATATTTCATATGCAAAGTTCATTTGGGACTCGCTCCTTTTGAACCAGATACTTAGCTTCTAATACATAGCTTCGGACGTCATAGATCACATGCATTTTGGCAAAAACGATACAGTGCTTTAATGTGAAATGTGCTGGTTTTGGAAATTTTGTTGAATGTAACTAGCGCATATTTCTTTATCACTCAGACAACACAACTCTTATTAAAATGGTTTCTTTCTTAAAGTGTCGGTAGTAATAAAATGAGGAAATATACCATTTTTACCAGCAAGGTATCAATAGCTTTAGTATTGGTATATCATAGAACACTAGCTGTTAGACGTGTGCTTTGCTGCGTGACAGATTACAGACATGTAAAGCGAACATTAGAATGTTAAACATGGAGAAATCTCACAGACTGATGATGCAGTGGCGCTAATGTTGCGTTTGCTTGACAAGCAGCAGACAGACCCTCATCTGCCGAAGCCCCCGTCAGGCAGTAAGAGCTGATCAGTGAGGTGAAACCTGCTGTCAGCGGCGCTGATAGGTTTGAGTGACACAACAACCGTTTGGCCAGACTGTGCAGTTCCCTCCAGCGCTTCTTCTTTGTCTGACATTACCAATCTTGCTGTTTCTCTTTCTCTCTTCCTCAGACACTTTGTCTATCTGCCCATCTGTGGTTCTGTGGAGAAGCCCTGACCTCTTTCCTTCAGGGTATACGGTCTACAACAGACCTTCACCCCGTCCTCTGCCACGTGATCTAAGTGGACAGATGATAGTGCCACCTCCTAAAACTGTTGCCACAAAGACAGCGAGGAGGAAGTAGACTGGTGCCAAACCGTGCCTCATAAGTGTCTGAGGCTGGGTAGTGAGAGGTCAGCTGTTTGAGATATGCCCTCACCCCCCAATGATGGAGGTAAGTTTGATAAAACAGTTTGACAACAGTGACCCCCAAAAGTCCATCCAGAAAACCAGAGCCCACTCTATATGCCCACTAGGCACAAATAGTTCATATTGTTCACAAATAGTCGAATATTCGCTGTCCATTCATGACTGCAGGTAAGCACAGCTGTACCCTGAGTGAGCTGAGAATAGAGCTTGTTATCTTTGTGTCTCTGGAATGTCTGTGTTGGCGAAACATTCTTATGCCTAATGCCCACCCTCTTTGTTGAAGTAGACATTCTAGTAGGTGTTGAAGGGTGTTTCTTAAAGTGCCCCTATTATGGATTTTTGACATGCAGTGTGTAACACAACTCTAAGTGAATGAAAACATCCTGCAGTTTTAAATCTGAAAGTGCACAGTGTATAAAGTTATTGTCTCTCAAAAGAAAGAGTCGACTCTGAATCATTGAAACAAGTCATTTTTAAAACGAATCCCAAGCCGTTTCATGTTGACGTCAACATAAACATTAGCATATTGCCTGCCCACATGTTGCGCATGCAGACCTGGGAAAACTTGACCATTGCTGCGTCCCAATTCGCCTACTTATACTATGCCCTAAAAGTATATACTCTTTTTGTGGAGAAAAAGTTCATACTTTTGAGTATGTAGCAGAATAGTAGGCAAGCTTTGGGACATACTACTTAGTCATAACTGCGTTTTTACTGGACGCTCTGCTGCTTAGTTACATGCATTCTGTCATTGTTTAAACTGAACTGTAATCATCTTGTCACAGTTAACAAAATTTTGTTTAATTAAATTTTCTACCGTATTGGAGAGAAATGAAGAGGCATTTTTCGTCAGTTTATTTTCAAGAAATGGAATGGGTACAAAAGATTGTGGGTGATTGAAGGTTGCGGAGGATACATCCCATGCATCCTTCAAATTCAGCTGAATGAAGGACGCGAAACGAAGGCTGCCTTCCAAGGATCCTTCTGATTGAGATGGCCTTCAGCAACGTTTGATGACGTGGCAGCTGAGATATGCAGCCTTCGGAGGATGCAGCCTTCCGTTTGAGAAACACCCAATGTTGCTGCAGATGAAATATAATGCACATAACATTAAATAAATATTTTTAATCAGGTTAGACATTGATTATTCTTCACTCAAACCCCTTTCTCTGCCTGTCTGTCGGTCTCGCATATCAGCCATGTTTGTAGTTTTTAAACACTTTTTATGCATGTTTGTAGTTCTAATCGAATCCTCGTCCACCGCGCAATGTGTTGTGGTGGGCAATATTAGCCATTAGAGTGTGCATCGATCTGCACTTCGAATTTTAGTCTCAAGTAATAGACCATCCAGGAATCTTTGTCATACTTTTTCAACATACTATGATTTGGGACATACTAATTATATTTTCGAATACTATTTAGGAAGGATAGTATACGAATTGGGATGCAGCACATCAGTCGATTTTCGCGTTGGTCTGAATGAAAATGCAAATTCATTCTTTGCCACTAGGTGCCGCTTTTGGAGCAGTAAAATAGCGGTTTCCCCGGTAACGCTGTACACAAAGCAGCACTCACAAATGCTGCTTTATCAGGCATGAGGAAATGAAAATGAGACCAGTCGGACCAATCACTGCAGATTAACATCACACAAAGGAAGGGTTTGGAAAAATGAACCATTGAGCGAGTCGTTTGGGAGTCTTTGAGGAAGTAAGGGAAAAATAAATGCATATTATAAGACAATGAAAGTGTTTTTTTACCTTACATGCATGTCAACCTGTTGTTAGGGACTCCCAAGACCAAAATATGAACTTTTCATAACCCATAATAGGGGCACTTTAATACTAAATAAAGTGTAAAATATATTAAAAACAGTGGTAACACTTTAGTATAGGGACCAATTCTCACTATTAATTAGCTGCTTATTAGCATGCCTATTATTAATATATTGACTGTTTATTAGTACTTATAAAGCACATATTCTGCATGACCGTATTCTACATCCCTAATCCTACCCAATGCCTAAAGTTTATTGAGGCAAAAGTCATAATTAATGATTTGTTAATAGCGGGAATTGGACCTTAAAATAAAGTGTGACCACAACGTTGACAATAACCTTAGTAAATGGTCAGTTGCTAAATATTCCACAGACGATCAAGGAACGTCCCCCATGAACATGCCACCAACACTGTCTAATCAGAATGGAGTAAAAAGGAAGGTCCACACCAAGAAGAAGAAGAAGGGTTTCATCACAGCCAATGTTGCTGGAACAAAATATGAGATTGGTAGGAAAAACATTCTATTATTTATGTAAAATTTGCTGATTCATACAGAGCACATACAATTATTTATCCAGAGACTCAATGGAACTGCATTCTCTCTTGAAAAAGAAGACCAATATATTCAATGCATTTCATATATGTCTTAAATATATGAATTTAAACCTCAACATTTTGTCTGTCTGATTATTTAAGCATTCTCTCATTTACTGAGCAACCTAGCCCATGTGCGGCTAATACACTCAATTACTACACATAAAGTGCTAACAAAGCCCTGAGAGGGCTCCAGTCCCCGAGTTTAGCCCAGAGAGGGTTCCAGTCCCAGAGTTTAGCCCAGAGAGGGCTCCAGTCCCCGAGTTTAGCCCAGAGAAAGTTTCTGTCCCTATGTTTAGCCCCGAGAAAGTTCCATCCCCAAGTTTAGCCCAGAGAGGGCTCCAGCCCCCGAGTTTAGCCCAGAGAAAGTTTCTGTTCCCATGTCTAGCCCAGTGAAATGTCCTGTTCCCATGTCTAGCCCAGAGAAGGCTCCTGTTCCCACGTCCAGCCCTGAGAGGGCTCCTGGTCCCAAGTCAAGCCCGGAGGCTCACAAATAACCGCCCACCCACCCGCTCATGCCTCCTCCAATGCTGTCGTCTGGCAGCCCCTCTGCTCGCCATCAGCCCACCATCAGCACGGTGCGAGCTCCACAGGACTGCCATCCTCCAGCATCGCCGGGGCTGTAATATCCCTTGACTGCGCGTCCAGCCTCTAAGCTCCGGACTCCGCCTCGGCCCGTGGACCCGTCGGCTCCATCATTTTGGCTCCTCCTCAGTCCTCTGTCGCTCTGGCTCCACCGTGGTCTTTCGCATCCATGCCTCCGCATCAGTCGGCGGTGCCATCTGCTCCGCCATGGCCTTTCGGATCCTTCCCATCGCCCTGGCTCATCGGCTCTCCGCAGGGTTGGGGAGTAACGGAATGCATGTAACGGCGTTACGTAATCAGGATACAAAAATGTAGTAACTGTAATCCTTTACAGTTACATAAAAAACAAAGTATTCAGATTGCAGTTACATTTTGTAAAAAGTGGGAATACTATCAGAATTACATTTGTTTAATTTAAAATTAAATAAATGTGATTTTGACATAACGCTATATATTTAGCGCTGCTTCATCATAGTACCTGGTAGAGCCCTGTACGGGCCTCAAATATAGTCCCTAGCCCAGTCCTTGTCCGACAGCTTATCAGAATTACAGAATTGTCTTTTTTTTCCCTTCTCCCAAAACAGCTTATACTACTGTTTCAGCTATTAAAATAGTTAAGTTTTGTATGTAATGGCAAAGTGATTATATTTCGTTTATTTATTTTATTAAGTAAATTTAGAAAAAACGTTTGGAGCATTTTTTGTTCGTTACAAATTTTTGTTTTTTAAAGTAACGACCAAGCGTCCAGCGGCAGATAGTGAGCCTATGTTTGATCAATTTAGCTTTCTCAAATCATCACGACTTGCCTAAAATAAAATCTGTAGATATAAAACAGTTCAAGCATATAACAACGTTAAACCTAGATAAATGTGCCGAGAGTGCAAGTTAAAGCGCGCTTTGCAGGACATGGAGGCGCCAGCGCGATCACTATATATCAATACATAATTCAAAACTGTATAGGGTCTACTTTTATTTGTGTGCACTCACAATATCAACAAAACGTTGTGCTTTTATAAAATAAAGAAAACAAACATGATGCACTTTCTGCCGTCTCGTCTTCAACAGGAGCGCTTCACAAAAATTAACTGAAACTCAGCGAATAAATGCCTCACAGACATGATAAATATATCTATAGAAAACTTTAAATTACTACTTAACGAAATAAAACAAATCGAAAACAAAAACTCTTTCATTATAATCATAATCCGTAAAGATGCACTTCTCTCTAAAGGCGGGTCTAATGAGGAGATGGTGAGTCAGGATCGGCAACTTCATCCTTGCAACAGAACTCAGAAAACACTAGTTTATTAGTAAATAATTAAAATATCTCCTTACTATTTTCCTCTGACACATTCATGGTAATTACTTTTGCTGGGGCTTTGCGGCAAGCTTTAGCCTATTGCGTGCATTTGAACGCAGATCTCTTCAGCTGCACTGACGGCACACTCGCTCTGCTACTGCTGCGGGACACTAAACACCGTCGAGCTGCTCTTGACAGTCACAGTAGTACGGTCTCGTGTTGTTTCCACCAGCAATTTTTTTTCATCACTAATTGATTGATGTCTAAAATATAAAAATAAGGAGAAGCCTAAAACAGTCCCGAGGCCCGGCCCGCATCTGAACTATGACATGAAAATTGGCCCGAAGCCTGGCCCTACTGGCGTAAAAAAGTTGGGGCCCAGGCTGAAATGCAGGCTTAACTATTACTTACTTACTATTACTTATGACTAATTTACATATGTAACTTGACGTAATCAAATTACATTACCTTTATTTTGTGGTACTTGGATTACTTTACTGAGTACTTTTTTAATGAAGTAATTTGTAACTGTAACGGAATACATTTTAAAAGTAACCCTCCCAACCCTGGCTCTCCGTCTCCACCTCGGGCTCCTCCGCCACCTGCTTTGCCGCCGTTGGTCGGCCCCCTGGAGTCAGCGGCCATTCCTCCTCCATGGCTCCTCCCTCCGTCGGCTCCACCATAGGCCGCCATCATGGCTGTGGCTTGGGTCCTGCTTGGCCCCTCCTGCTCCAAGTCCTTCCTGTCGCCTCCCTGGCTCCTCCCTCCATCCTCACCTCCGTGGACTCTGTCTGCCGGCCCCCTCCCGGGTGTCCGTCCTCCTCCCGAGCCTCCTCCCAAGTTCCCACCCGTGCCCCCCCCCCCCATTGTTCTACAGCGCGAGGATGCGCTTTCCGGGAGGGGGGCGATATGTCACGCCCCTGGACTCATTCTGTGTGTTTTTCCTTCCCCACGTGCTCCATGACCCAGTTTTTCCTCATGTGCAATTATGTTTATTGCTCTCAGGTGTTTCTCATCATCCCCTCGTCATGTCATGTGTATTTAAAGTGTTTCCTGTTCTGAGTTCTTCGTCTGGTATTGAATGTTTGTCTTTCCCCGCTACGTGTGTGTTCCTGGTTCCTTGGATGTTTATTTTTACTTGTTTTAAGCAAAATGCACTTAATTTAGATTCCCCCCCTGGAAACAAGACTAAATATCTTAAGTCAATTGGCTTATCTAGTAAAAGTATCTTGATTTAAGAATTTTTTGATATTTTGACTAGAAACAAGACAAAAATATATATATATTGTTCCCCATAATGCAAAGATGTAAACAGGCTGTGTAAACAGCCCCTAAAAACGGTTTTCTTTCAGGGATTAACAATTTGTACGGCAAACCTATTTTATTTTTGAAAAAAGCTAAGAAAGAAAGTTTACTTTTTACATATAAATACTTAGTATTCCAAAGAAATAGTAGAAAAATACAATTAAATTGGACACTTTTCTTTCTTCTTCTTCTTTTTTTTTTTTTTACGTGTACGTGTTTGGGATACTTCTAATTGAGTAAGATTTTGAAACCCTCCCATATTTGAATTTAGTGTAAGTGTAATGCTTTAGAGTAATTCTCTTAATTAACAATCATATAATTATTTAACAGGCATGGGATGTTTTTAAGCTTTGGTTTAACTGGATTTCAGTGTAAGCCACACCAATTTAGTTTTATCCAGTAATTCTGATGTTTATGAAAAAATCATGATCATAACATTACCAGTTGCTACAACTGGGTAATGTTTCTTGGAAAGATAATGTCATGCAGACATAATTTTCTTAAAACATTTGGGTTGAAGCAAAAGCATAAGTCAAACATAATTATTGTTAAAGCATGAGTTTTTTTATTTCAAGAAACGAATGAGGATTTCTATTGTTAAATTCTACTAATGGAGTCAGTTGTTTGTGTCCATTCAATCATGGAAATAAAAATATGATCCAGTATTGTCAATGCATATTAAAGGAAACTAATTTGATTTATTTGCAGTTCGTATTGTCATTGAGGAGATGATCTTTCATAAAGCCAGAGATGATGATGAGATGGCCAATCTCATCTGGAACGACTCTTCCGTGCAACATGAGAAAATCGCTGAGCTCAGGAACTATCAGGTATTGTGATTTTCCTTTCAGTTCAAAGAAAGAAAGAAAAAAGTTCAAAACGAACATGTTGCTAAAGTCTCCTTTTATTTTCCATGGCTTTAAGATATGTGACCTTTACCGTGGCTTATACTCATTTTCCTAAAACCCTTCATAGCAATTTGTGGTTTAATCATCAGAAGTCACAGAATGTACTGTATATAACCTTCATGGCTAAAGTACAGCACAGTAGTAAACCATCAACTGAGGTCACCTGAGATCAGCAAATTTGTCAGGAAGAGATTTGAAACAAAGCCCTTTTAAGTGAAGTCAGTTCAATCACCTTTTTAAGTGTGTAACGATCTACAACAAAAATAGAGAGATTGTTTGCATTAATTAAGCAAATACTTACTTTACAAAAAATAATTTCTTGCTAAAAATTAAATCAGTTGTTCAAAAACATATACTGTATGTACACACAAGCTGAACAACAAACGCAGCTTTCGGATACCTTTTTTTTTTTTTTAAGCTCAGTTGTCATAGAATTGAATGCACAGGATAGTGAGATCATAGGCAGGGAAGTATACATTTATGCTGGCTTCAAAAATTGATCAGATGTAGGTATCTCAGTAGACAGGATGCGTCATGATCGATAGATTCAGACATGCATTGTTGGCTTCTTACCTCCATATGCTGCAGAGATTTTTCAGCTTTTGAACAAAGCTTTTTTTTAATACCTTATTTCAAACCAGCAAAAAAACTTTAATTTGGCGAAAAATACTTAATTAACCTTTCAAAAACGAACAGTTTACATGATTTACATGTGATTTATTGAATAAACATTAATTAAGCAAATACTTACTTTACAAAAAATAATTTCTTGCTAAAAATTAAATCAGTTGTTCAAAAACATATACTGTATGTACACACAAGCTGAACAACAAACGCAGCTTTCGGATACCTTTTTTTTTTTTTTAAGCTCAGTTGTCATAGAATTGAATGCACAGGATAGTGAGATCATAGGCAGGGAAGTATACATTTATGCTGGCTTCAAAAATTGATCAGATGTAGGTATCTCAGTAGACAGGATGCGTCATGATCAATAGATTCAGACATGCATTGTTGGCTTCTTACCTCCATATGCTGCCGAGATTTTTCAGCTTTTGAACAAAGCTTTTTTTTAATACCTTATGTCAAACCAGCAATAAAAACTTTAATTTGGCGAAAAACTGTATTTTACAGGCTCATCTTGTACACGTTTGTTGTTGCTCTATCCAAAAGCATTTTTTTTGATACAGGCATTGTCTCCCATTCATTTGTGACAAGTTGTCCACCTTCTCCTATGCACACAAATTTGTGTCTGGTCTGTGTAGCTTTCCACGCCGCAAAAGCATCCCACAGGTCTGTTGATGCAAAAATCGGTCATTCTCTCACATTGTCTCTCACATAGTCCGCAATCTTTGCCTTTTTTGTGAAGGATATACACCATGCTGTCTTCAAATTGCAGCTTAGTGTTTGAATTGACACAAATACAAAATAATAAAACACATTCAAACAAACAACATAACATACACAGCAAATACTTAATTAACCTTTCAAAAACGAACAATTTACTTGCCTTCAATAAATCACATGTTTAAACAATGTTATCAATATCAGATATTTCAGCATCAGAACCAGTCTGTGGCATCTGCAGCAGCATGACCATACTTCACATTTTCTTCATTTATTTCCAGAATTTTAATAGGGAATGACCTGAGGATGAGTAAAAGATTAAACTCTAAATTCGCATTTGCAAAAATCTTTTTTTCCCAAGAAATCAATCTGTCTTTTAAATTTGAAACAAATGACATTTACATTCAGTATAACGCTGTGTTTGGGCTTGCTGTCATAAAGCAACTCTGAATGTCTGACTAATATTTTTCACGTATCACCAGATTACTGTACAGTTGCAAAGAAAATTGCCCCAAACAATTGGCTTAGATGCTTTGCTTCATATTTAAACAATGTTATCAATATCAGATATTTCAGCATCAGAACCAGTCTGTGGCATCTGCAGCAGCATGACCATACTTCACATTTTCTTCATTTATTTCCAGAATTTTAATAGGGAATGACCTGAGGATGAGTAAAAGATTAAACTCTAAATTCGCATTTGCAAAAATCTTTTTTTCCCAAGAAATCAATCTGTCTTTTAAATTTGAAACAAATGACATTTACATTCAGTATAACGCTGTGTTTGGGCTTGCTGTCATAAAGCAACTATATGTCATAATATTTTTCACGTATCACCAGATTACTGTACAGTTGCAAAGAAAATTGCCCCAAACAATTGGCTTAGATGCTTTGCTTCATGTAACACTTTTCATAAAGTTGTGTTTTGTTACTTTTATTTTTGGAAAAGCACGCTATGCTTTCACACCTACTAAAATGTTTGTTCTACAGTTTTTTTTCTTGCTTTCCTGTGATTGGCTCGGCTGCCAAGCTACAGGTCATATGAGTCAAATTAATGGCCCTGTTCAGCCTCATTTGCTCAAAGAATACAGAAAAACTCTCCACCCCCTCCCTTCCTCTTTGCATTCAAAGCAATTCATTCATCTGTCAGTACCTACAACTACATGGGCTCTGATGCAGAACCAATTACCTTGGCCCTTAGAGTCAAAATTGATCGTCTTTTTTAGTTTTAAATTAAAAACAATGTGGGGAACTAAATAGGGGTTAAGAAAGGTCTGACAACCACCTTTTGTTTTGAGTCTGTAATTGGACATAAATGTCAAAATATTATAGTCGCAGTTCAAGACTTGGGCTCTAATGTTGTGTTTTTCCTCTCAAAGGTGAATAACCGAGTGCCCTCTAACAGTGTAATTATTTTCCTCAGAGGATAAACCATTTCCCAGGAATGGGTGAGATCTGTCGGAAAGACTGCTTGGCACGGAACATGGCCAAGTGAGTTTGAAAACATGATACCATATAAGATACATGACTGATTACAGCTGCCCTCCAGCCAAGGAAAGTGGACTTAAGCTCTTTGTTTTCGTTAATTTTAATATCCTCTTTCTTTCCTTAGAATGATTAAAAGTCAGCCTCAGGAATATAGCTTCATCCCCAAAACCTGGATCTTCCCAGCCGAATGCACGCAGTTCCAGAATTATGTAAAGGAGTTGAAACGAAAACGTAAGCAGAAAACGTTCATCGTTAAGCCTGCGAATGGAGCCATGGGCCATGGGTAAGTTACAGCAGACTGGAAAGTTGTTCTGGAATATTTCTCAAAATAGAGGTTATTTGTCATTTTCCCATGGGCAGCATACTGCTACAAAAGTGGCAAAGATTTCCCAGTAAAATGTTGCTATTTCAAAATGTTCTATGACTGACAGACCAGAAGTCATTCATTCATAGCTGAAACTAGTACAGGAGCTGCATGGAGTTCCAAGCATTTGGATGCAATTTGAGCTTCGGTTGCATTGAAATATTTGAACTTTTGCGGTTAGACTTACTGTATGTGAGGTGAGATTTAACAATAGTTTTTCCACTAAAACTTTACTCTTTAATCTATTTTTTGTAAAATGTTCGGTTATGAATAATTGACTGTATGTAATATTGTGCCACTGCAAGCACTAATTCTTATTGCAAATTTGAAATTAAACTGTAGCCTTAATAATAACCCTAACACCAACCCTTTATCTTAATGCTTAAACCTTATACCTAAGCTGAAGGTGTACAGCAGCAGATGGGGCACTAGATTTATTTATGACTGCCTTTTATCTGTTCATAAATTAATATTTCTATGGTCGTACGCTACAGCAAGCCGGTACTTATTAAAATGAGAAGTCATCAAAGGTTGAGTTATTGTGCCGCATTTAACAAGTGAAAGAAGATCGTCTGCTAGGCTGGAGATTAAATTTGAAAAAGCGTAGCGTGACGCAGGAAATTAAGTTATATCTTCCTATGTAATTTATTTTTCAGGCCGAAAAACTAAATGAATATTGTTTGTGTCTAAGCAGAGGCTTGTTAAAAACTGTGGAGGGCTAAAAGACGAGATCCCCACTGGTGCCAAATTAAACAGTCAGCCAAAGTGGGTTTTGATTACCTGCCATCAGCCCTCATCAATCATGTCATGCAATTCAAACAACCCCATTATCCTCTACAACATCACACAACACAAGCTACTGGACGCTAAACACACACCTGAGCCAGCGGACGCCAAGCGCAGGACTAGAGACTGTGTGCCAATACGGTGGAGATAAGGAAGATTGGCTGGTGGGCTGCTTTTGGCTGAGCACCAAATTCACGTACTCTGAACTCCCTTCACAATAGCAGAAGCAATTAATATTTCATTTTTAATTATAAATGAAATGTTTATATATTAAACAAAACACCTTTTAGCGATAGATGTGGCATTTCTCATTGAAAACAGAATGCATTTGAAGTGTAATAAATCCTGGAAACCCCTCAAGAGCCACTTATTACGCAAGTAGAAATGAGACTCAATCACAGTAAATCATTTTTAATTGTTTTAATTGAGCAACTCAGTGTTGTGTTGGTCTTTTTTTGTGGCCCTTGTTCTTGTTTGGTCATTTTCTGCAATTTTGTTCTCGTACTAAACAAACAACCGTAAATGAGTCAAATGTATCACGAGTCACAGGAGAATCTTTCGTAACAACGCAATTCTAGAGAACATTCAGCTGTGTTTTAATAGTGCTGAACCTCTGCATCTAATTGCAGCAAGAGCAAGCAGACAAATTCTTTTGCAATATTTATCAGCTGACATAGCTAACAAATGAACTGTGATGATCGTGATCTCCTTCAACAGCTTGTGGTCTTTGGGAAGTTGACGTCTCAGGTAAATGCTGAGGTCGCATGGAAACCGGACGAAAAGAAACATGCAACCAATTAGGTTAATGCAGACCTATAGCCGTATATTTTACCATCAAAGCTGGTTTTTCTAAGGCCCCTTTGTTTGTTAAACATCCAAGCTTCACTTAATCATGTGTTTGGTACTGGTAAACGCATCGTCGTCTGTATGCTATAACAGCCAAGAGCTGGAGATCTGTTCAAGCTCAGAACCAAAGGAAATAAATGATGGCAGGGCTTGAAACAGACCCAAGTCGTCTGGTCCTATTAACCTAGGCCTAGTCAGGGTCCAGGGACCAGCGATAGCGACAGCACCTTAATAAACTCGCTCTCTCTGACACACTTCAGCTTTGGATTTTTAACCAACAATAAAATATGCAGCACATTTTTGGGATGTGCGCTGAATCTTATCCATTTTCTCCCAGGATATCTCTGATTCGCAATTATGAAAAGCTCCCGGTGCAGGATCACTTCATTGTGCAGGAATACTTAGACAAGCCCTTCCTCATGGAGGGCTACAAGTTTGACTTGAGATTCTACATTCTTGTTACTTCCTGTGATCCACTACGTGTCTTCCTCTACAACGACGGCCTGGTGCGAATGGGTACAGAGAAATACCACACGCCAAACGAGTCCAACTTGGTGAGTTTGCGTATGATAACATGTAAGTGGCATGAAAATTTGTATTCTGTGTAGTAAATGGATTTAAAGTCAACACGACATCAAAATAAACTCAGTTCCATTAATGGGCTGAAACCTCCACTCTATAAAACTGTCATATAAACACTTTTCACAATCCAGTCAATTCCCGATGGATACAAGCAATTTCAAATGCTGTTTCATATTGACGCTCTTATACGTAAATGAGATAACAGACATTAGTAAGAGTAAACACCATATGTAATTGTAATGAATATGAGTGTATTGCTGCAGTTAAATTTTAGCATGTTGTCAAGTTGTCACATTATGAAGTATGCATAATTCAACCATATATAAAATGATTCATATGCAAATTGCCACACTGTAAATTTAAAGGGGTCATATGATGCTATTTTAAAGATCATTAATTTGTGTATTTGGTGTAACAGAATATGTTGACATGCTTTAATGTTCAAAAAACACATTATTTTTCAAATACTGTACATTATTGTAGGTCCTCTATACCTCACCTCTCTCAAACACGTCGTTTTCATTCGAACCAACGATTACGACGTGGCCAAATTCTGGGGCGATGTTTCAGTGAGTTGTTTTTATTTCTATTGCTTCTTCAATAACTTTCAATCTAGGGCTGCATGATACAATGTTCGATAATGAGACACAATTAAAGATTATATAATTGGAATTTTTAGCTTCTCGCGCCATGACCAATTTCATATTGCAATGCATATCACAACCCTGATGATAAGCTTATCGAGATGTGCCGTATTTTTTTTTTTAGAATTTGATAGATCACGCAGCCCTACATTAACCAGCCTCCCTGGCTCCAGTTTCTCAATTGTATCAAATTTTACTTTCAAAAACGAATCTGTTTCCTGTCAGAGTGTTACCAGTGTGACAGCTCTGCCCTTATCTTTCCTCTGTTTCTGTTTGCCGTCTCTTCCTCCTCGCTGTCCACTTCTCTCTTTTGATCTAATTGTAATTCTTTCATCTTTTCAAACGGAGAGCTCGTCACCTAACCAGCATATGCTGGATTTTTCAACAGGGTTCTAAACTTCATAAAACACTTTTAAAGGGGTCACGACTTGAGAAATCAAATTTACCTTGATCTTTTGGCATATATGAGGTCTTTGTACCATTAAAACATCCTGGAAGTTTCATAGCTTAAAATGTCCTCCTCATTATAAACAAAGCATTCATTTATTCAAGCCAATGTGAAGTGCAAGATGACATCACCCGGGCACAAACATTTGCATAAACAGAGCCTCCAGAGCAGGACATCGACGGATAATCATCTTCTAACCATAGGCCCCGCCCACTGGCTTCCAGTCGCCAAACGGCTAGGGACGGGCGATATCTTATTGTTTGCGATATACTGATAACAATTCTCCCCACGATAAGAATTAGTCTTCCCGCGATAATAACGATAAAGTCTAGTTGTTGACATATTTCTGTGTGTGACAGTGCGGAGCGACATTGCGGAAGGCAGATGTGAAATTGAGGAGGAGTTTATCGCTAAATTAGGAGCTCCTTCTACAATCTGGAACTGGTTTGGTTAGGGCTGTACGGTGCACAAAAAAATCGGTCTGAATGAATGTACTACAGTAGCATGTGTGCAATACAGTTTTGCATGTGTATGAGCCTGTTTACAAACCTGTTGTCCAACAAAGATATCATTTATTGACATGCTTTTTCACCAAATTAACGTAACACAGTTGAGTGTTTGAAATAACTTCTTTTTTTGACCAGACGTGGTTTCATATTACAGAATGATAGTATTATATACAGTGATAAAGGCTATGTCGATTAACATTGCATTAAATATACTTTCCTTATAAAATATACACAAGATTGCTTGAAGAACACAAATAAGCCATATATTTTGTGCAATCATAAGTTTCATCAGTTAAAATTTCTCTTATCTCTGTTGTGCATTTTATTCAGGGATAACTGGATACCTTTGTCCATATTAGGGATTTCCTGGAGCGTCATCAGTAGTATTACTTCTGCTATGCATATGTGGAGTTTCTGCGCAAGGGCGCCCTCCAGCTTCCAGTATGAATTAAACAGTCATTACGTTACATGTGTACTCAGTGATGCTAAAAATGGGAAAGATAATACTTTTCTCTAAAGAAACAGGATTCCCCGAATTATCATCATTGATATCGTTATCGCAATAAATACCAAAAATATCGTGATATATTTTTAAGCCCAAATCACCCATCCCTACTAACGGTTGACACTTGATTACGCTGGATGTGAGTGTCGCGTTGTGTTGCAAAAGCAAATAGACTGCCGCTATCTACACTAGATACAGTATACATTCGCTTTCTGACACAGTCCACGCGCTTGAGTCTGTCATCAGGATAAATGGAGTGAAAGAATGTTGGCTTCAATGCGTTTGGTTTAACAGCTCGTTCACGTCTTTGTACAGATGTCAGAAGGTTTCCAGCGTAAGCAACAAGTGAATAGTTTATTTTTAATGGCATCCCGAATCATGTCAGAGGATTGTTCGGAGTATTGTTTTTGTAAATGAGGCACAGTGTCATGGAGAGTTCACAAAGAAACATTTGTTGAGAGATGAAGCGGTACTACGCTGTGCTTCAAAAGGTTCTTCAAGCGATGCCATAGAAGAACCATTTTTGGTTCCACAAAGAAGCATTCAGTCAAAGGTTCTTTAAAGAACCATCTCTTTCTTACCTTTTTGTAATCTGAAGAACCTTATTTCGCCACAAAGAACCTTTTGTGAAACAGAAAGGTTCTTCAGATGTTAAAGGTTCTTTATGGAACCATTTAGACAAAAAGGTTCTTCTATGGCATCGTGAAGCACCTTTATTTTTAAGAGTGTACATTTATAACTCATCCGCCATTTAAACCTATATTCACAGGTGAATCATTGTCACGAATCATGGTTGAATCTGTTTAATCTTGTTTTGATTTTACAAGAAGAATAAAAGTTGCTATCACAATGTTGTTTTATCATCAACAGCCATCTTCAGAATCATTCTGATATGCTTATTTGGTGCTCAAGAAACATTCTTTTATTATTATTATAAATATTGAAATCATTTTTTGCTGCTTAATGTTTTTGTGGAATCTGTGATACACTACCTTTCATATTTCTTGTTCAACAAGGATGCATTACATTGATCAAAAGTGACATTTATAATATTACAAAAGATTTCTATTTCAAATAACTGCTGTTCTTTTGAACTTTCTATTCACTGAAGAATCCTGAAAAATGTATCACGATTTATACAATTAAGCAGCAAACACTGTTTTAAACATTGATAATAATGACCATTATATTTAATATGTAATAGAACCATTATTTTTAATATAAGAACCCTAATATTCTGCAATATTACTGTTTTTACTGTATATTTAATCAAATACGTGTGCTCACTTCTTAAAAAACACTGAAAAAAACACTTATTTTGATCTTTTTTACTAGTGATGTACACATTTTGTTAACCCTTTTTTCTTATTTAGCATTAGATGGTATTTAAGCATTAGTTTTAACGTTTAAACCATCACCAAGGTTGATCGCATGCCAAAGGGGAAGACTAATGAAGATTTAGAATTTGTAGGGCTTACAATCTAAGCCGTAATAAGTCAAAATATTCTTTGTTTGGTTTTGATATCATTGAACAATAAGCTGACCACAGCAATCCATTCTGCACACCATTATTATCATTCTGTCTGACAAAGAGCCTGTTTGCATGTTTTTGTGTTTTTTCTGCAGTATTTTCCCATGATGTCTTAAGCTGCTGGGACGCATCATGCAGGCCATGTCTTTACGATGGTGTGTCAGGTGGAAAGTGTTTTCTTCTGCCTGACTGTTTGAGTACATGAATGTGTTCTTTTTTGCTCATTTGTCGTTTTTGCTCAGTAAAAGGGATTTTGATGAAGCATGGTGACTGCAGACTCCCCAAAACGTGGTACTTTGAGTTTGGAATTCAATTCCTTATTATGGAATTTATAGACTGGCCAAGGGGCATGATTGAATACATGCTTTTTAAAAGCATTATATTTATAATATAATAGATTTTTCTCTGTTATATTGGCAGCCCTGCAAATTTTGGAACACTTTTGGCTCGAGGAAAATGGCCACCTTGTGTGTTTTAACATCTGAAGTGGGGTTCCTGCACAACAGCAAGGATAAATGCTTTAATAGCAGCGTATTCAGGACTGACGTTCAGCATAAACACAGGGCTGAGTTTGCTTACACCAGAGCAAGAGCAGACTCTCTCCCCTCTTTCCTCTGTTTGACAGACACGCTGCAGAAATGTAGGTCAGGACTGTGAGTTAAGACGGTTAGGATGCAGGAATGCTGGCGCGTGTTCATGTGGGGTAACGTGCCGTTTGCTTGCCCAGAAAGTTCCATGTCAGGTTTTCTGGATCGCCCACACTTCTGTGTGGCAGTTAAAGCATGACCTAAATCTTTTAACCCAAACTTCTGGCTGCAGCTTCCATCTTACTAACCCATTCTAGAATGTAAAATGCCTTGGGATTATTATTATTTTATTTATTTATTTATTTTTTTTGTTAAATCCTCAGAATAATTTGGTCTTTTATTAGAAACTGGACATTTTTCACATTTTACTTTGAGGCTTTTTGACACTGAAAGGGGATTTTATTAAGGGAATGAAAAACTGGATTCAAACCTACAACTCCCACGTGGGCATCACTAGAGTATGGTGCATATGTGGTTACTGCTAAGCCATGGCTCTGAAAGATTTTATTTTAAGTCAAATCATTGGGGAAGTTTGTTTCATGGTTCAGATTTTTTCTTTTTCTTTGAGAGGAGATATTTTAAGGTATTTGGATTTATTATAAGTTTGTTTTTTGGGGGGGGGTGCATAAAGAAAAGATTGTGGGTTTTCATGTTGTTAAGAGGTGAGTCATTGAAGAAATTGTTATCTGGCATTGTCTTTTTTATTTTAAATTTTGAAGCTTTCTACTGACAAACATTTGAGAAGTCA